AACGAGATAAAATGAACGCTAGCTGTCTTGGATTAGGAGCCCTGGTGGCACAGTGGTTAAGAGCTGAGGCTGCTAACCAAAAGGTTGACAGTTCGAATCCACCAGCTGCTCCTTAACCCTATGGGGCTGTTCTTCTCTGTCCTATAGGGTCGCTATGACTTGGCATTGACTCAGTGGCAATGGGTTTTATGAGTGTTGGATTAGAATTTGAGGTATCAGTGTGAACTCATCATATAGCTGGATATAAAAATGAATATTGAGGTATAGAGGTGTGCCCTAGTGTTCTTTAGTGAAACAGAATCAATAAGATCTATAGATATGTATACATATATATAGAGAGAGGAATTGACTGATTGATTTGAGGAATTGGCTCATGTGATTGTGGGGCTGGCAAGTCCAAAATGCATAAATCTAGGCCAGGCTAGAAATTACATCAGTCTTGTTTCCCACATCAGTAGGTCAGAGGCGACAGAAATTCTGGCAGGATGTCTGTGTATAGTCTGGAGGCAGAATCCTCCCTCAGGAAACCGAGAAATCTCCCATTTTGCTTCTAAGATCTTCAACTGAGGGCCCATCCGCATTATGGAGGATAATCTGATTTACTTAAGGCCAAGCGATTTAAATGCTAATCACATGTGAATACTTCATAGCAACTTCTAGACTAGTGTTTGACCAAATAGCCAGGCACTGTAGCCTAGCCAAATCGATACATAAAGTTAACCATCACAGGGTGGGTGGGTGGGTGGGGGTATGTGTGTGTGTATTCATGTATATATACATAACTCTGTTTCCTAGCTATGACTGTTGACAGGGCTTAGAAGCAATAACACTCCAGTAGCAATGAACACACTTGGTGCCCAGATCTTAGTTTCTAAATACTATTCTTCATTCAAAGGAACCAGGGTTCCTTGCAGAAATGGTTGATTCGAGGCCTGAGGCAGGGACAGCACAAGGTGAACCTGGGGCATCTTTCTGTCCCATAAAACTAAGGAAGTGTTCAAAGAATGATGTGGATATGTCAAAAGGACACAAGCTAGCTTTAAGGGCTCCTACTGGCCAAATCTAGGACAATTTGAGCATTAAAATAGTGATAGTAAAGGATTATAACCTACTGAATAAAGTAAGACTCCGTAAATCCACATTGATATAAATGAATGAATGAGAAGAGAAACCTCTTCATCACAGTAGAAAGCCAACTAATACGTGTACAAGGAATGATGGAATAAGAAAAGCACCATTTGGCAAATCATCATAATTATAATCGATGAAGGCAAGAATCATCAGTGGATGCTAAAACTGGTGGATGAAGGTTTAAGGTGGAACAAGGTATTTGCACAGCCTCAAAGTATCTCCCAAAAAATACTTACTAATTATACAGGATAAAACGATTTTCCAGTGGATATTCTTGGTAGATACTATCTTAACCAAATTATCAAAGTTACATTGCCAGTAACGGGACTAGTCAACAATGCATACCTACTGATATGATTCTGGGAAGAACTTAGCATCATTTCTGCGCTATTCCTGCCAGAAGTTCATAACTTGAATCTAGTCATGAGGAGACATCTGATAAACCCAAATGGAGACGTATTCTATAACTAGGCTGTACTTTTCCAAATGTCAATGTTATGAAACAGAAAGAAAGGCTCAGGAACTGTTCCGGATTAAAGAATACTAAAGATACAAGACAGCCAGATGCAGAACATGATCTTGGATTTTCTTTTGTTATAAACGACACTATTAGGACAGTTGGTGAAATCTGAATGAGATCTGTAGATTAAATAGCACTACTGTTGTAGTAAAGTTCCCTGGGTGGCACGAATGGTTTGCCCTCGTCTACTAACCTTAAGGTAGTCAGTTTGAATCCACCCAGCGACACCACAGAAGAAGGGCCTGGCAATCTGCTTCTGTAAAGATTACAGCCAAGAAAACCCTGTGGAGCAGTTCTGTTGTTAGCCACCGTCGAGTCGGAACACTGCCCAGTCCTGTGCCATCCTCACAGGTATTGTTATGCTTGAACCCATTGTTGCAGCCACTCCTTGAAGGTCCATCTCCTTGAGGGTCTTCTTGAGGGTCTTCCTCTTTTTTGCTGACCTTCTACATTACCAAACATGACATCCTTCTCCAGGGACTGGTCCCTCCTAATAACATGTCCAAAGTATGTGAGACAAAGTCTCACCATCCTTGCTTCTAAGGAGCATTCTAGCTGTACTTCTTCCAAGACAGATTTGTTCATTCTTTTGGCAGTCCGTGGTATATTCAATATTCTTCACCAACACCACAATTCAAAGGCATCAATTCTTCTTCAATCTTCCTTAGTCGTTGTCCAGCTGTTGCATGCATATGGATTGGGTCAAGCGCACCTTAGTCCCCAAAGTGACATATTTGCTTTTCATCATTTTAAAGAGGTCTTTTGCAACAGATTTGCCCAGTGGAATGTGTCATTTGATTTCTTGGCTGCTGCTTCCATGGGCATTGATTGTGGATCCCAGTAAAATTAAATTCTTGACAACTTCAATTATTTTCTCCGTTTATCATGATGTAACATATTGGTCCTGTTGTAAGGATTTTTGTTTTCATTATGTTAAGGTGTAATCCATACTGAAGGCTATAGTCTTTGATCTTCATCAGTAAGTGCTTCAAGTCATCTTCACTTTCAGCAAGCAAGGTTGTGTCATCTGCATAACACAGGTTGTTAATGAGTCTTCCTTCAATCCTGATGCCCTGTTCTTCTTATAGTCCAGCTTTTCGGATTATTTGCTCAGCATACAGATTGAATAAATATGGTGAAAGGATACACCCCTGACACACACCTTTCCTGACTTTAAATCACGCAGTGTTCCCTTGTGCTGTTCAAACGACTGCTTCTTGGTCTATGTTCAGGTTCCTCATGAGCACGGTAAGTGCTCTAGAATTCCCATTCTTTGAAATGTTATCTGTAATTTGTCATGATCCACACAGTCGAATGCCTTCGCACAGTCAATAAAACATACGTAAACTTCTTTCTGGTATTCTCTGCTTTCAGCCAAGTTCCATCTGACATCAGCAGTGATATCCCTCATTCCATGTCCTCTTCAGAATCCAGCTTGAATTTCTGGCAGTATCCTGCTGATGTACTGCTGCAACTACTTTTGAATGATCTTCAGCAAAATTTTATGTGTATGTGATATTAATGACATTGTTCAATAATTTCTGCATTCTGTTGGATCACCTTTCTTTGGAATGGACACAAATCTGGATCTCTTCCAGTTGGTTGGCCAGATAGCTGTCTTCCAAATTTCTTGGCATAGACTAGTGAGCACTTCCAGTGTTGCATCCATTTGATGAAACATCTCAGTTGGTATCCTGTCAATTCCTGGAGTCTTGTTTTTTGCCAATGCCTTCAGTGCAGCTTGGACTTCTTCCTTTGGTACCATCAGTTCTTGACCATATGCCACCTCCTGAAATGATTGAGCATCAGCCAGTTCTTTTTGGTACAGTGACTCCGTGTATTCCTTCCATCTTCTTTTGATGCTTCCTGCATTGTTTAATATTTCCCCATAGAATCCTTGAGTATTGCAACTCAGGGCTTGAATTTTCTCTTCATCTCTTTCAGCTTGAGAAGTGCTGAGCGTGTTCTTCCCTTTTGGTTTTCTAACTCTAGGTCTTTGCACATTTCATTATAATACTTTACTTTGTCTTCTTGAGCTGCCCTTTGAAATCTTCCATTCAGCTCGTTTTCTTCATCATTTCTTCCATTTACTTTAGCTACTCTGTGTTCAAGAGCAAGTTTCAGAGTCACTTCTAACATCTATTTTGGTCTTTTCTTTCTTTTTTCCTGTCTTTTTAATGACCTCTTGCTGTCTTCATGTATGATGTCCTTGATGTCATTCCACAACTCGTCTGGTCTTTGGTCATTGTGTTCAGTGAGTCAAGCCTATTCTTGAGTTGGTCTCTAAATTCAGGTGGAAAATACTAACGGTTATACTTTGGCTCTCCTGGACTTGTTCTAATTTTCTTCATCTTCCACTTGAACTTGCATATGAGCAGTTGATGGTCTGTTTCACAGTTGGCCCCTGGCCTTGTTCTGACTGACAATATTGAGGTTTTCCATCGTCTCTTTTCACAGACGTAGCCAATTTGATTCCTTTGTATTCCATCAGGTCCACATGTATAGTTACAGTTTATGTTGTTGAAAAAAGTGTTGCTGAAACCTGTCCACCATGGGTGACCTTGCTGGTATTTGAAATACCAGTAGCATAGCTTCCCAGCATCATAGCAACACACTAGCCACCACAGTACGACAAACTGACAGACATGCAGGGATGGAGCAGTTCTGCTCTGTAACAAATGGGGTCACCATAAGCTGGAATCGACTAGATTGCAACGGGTTTGGATTTTTGGTTTACTGAAGTAGTAAATGCCTTCAAAGCTCTTATGAATGTAATTTGGACCAGGACACTTTCTCATTTGAATTACCTACCTGAGACAAGGAAGGAAGTTTACTGATCCAGACACACATCACGTGCCTCCTACTCTCAACCTATTTGCACTTGCTGCCCTTTTTTTTTTTTCCTTTTTGAACTCACTGGAATATTCTATCTTCTCTTCTGTCCAAAGCTTAAAAATACACAAGATCCACCTCCTTGATACCTGCTTTCACTTTGTCAATACATCTTAAACTCTTTTATTTCTGAAATTTCATAGCATGAATTTCTCATACGCAGTTGTTTTCATTGTTTAAATGAGATGAATAGAGTCTTTTCCCTATAAAAAAATAGAAAAACCTAAAAGCAAGGATTATTTCCTGCACGTTTTTGTTATAGCTGTCTTAAACGATAATAGAGAGACAGGTAGCTAATTGTTTCAAATTTTTGACCTGGGTTACTCTGAGCCCTGAAGACTCTTTGCACAGTGGCTTAAACATCCTGACCTTTGTCTAGAGCTGCATCTTATCCACTGCCCCTGAGGACCCCTGCCAGGCGGTTTCTGGCTGAGCAAGAATGTGTTTTCTGTTTCAGGAATCGGTGACATTCCAAGATGTGGCTGTGGACTTCACCAGAGAGGAGTGGGACCAGCTGTACCCCGCTCAGAAGAGCCTGTACAGAGATGTGATGCTGGAGAACTACAGGAATCTGGTTGCACTGGGTAAGGATGGTGTCCCTGTGAAACTGGAAACGATCTGAGTGGGTTTATTTCCTCAAGTGATAAAAGCGTACAGAGCTCTTGTGAATGTAGTTTTTAGGCCAGGACAGGAGAATGCTAATCAGTTTTGGGGATAGAGACCGTTGTTTCCTGCTCTTTATCCCCAAGTTTTGACTTTGTTGAGCTTGAGACGAGTAGCTTTATTTTGGAGTCTCTAGGTGATCCAGACAGTTATTGTGCTTGGCTGCTAACTGAAAGGTTGGAGGTTCGAAAAATCAGCCATTGAAAACGCTGTGGAGCAGAGTTCTGCTCTGACACACATGGGGTTGCTATGAGTTGGAGTTGACTCAGTGGCAACTGGGAGCTTTATTTTGCTGTTTATGAAGCCCCCCTTTCCAAATTCAGAGGTCTTAAAGACTAAAAAACAGGTCCCTGGGTGGCACAAATGGTTTGCTCTTGACTACCAACTGAAAGGTTGGTGGTTTGAATACACCCAGAAATGCCACAGAAGAAAGGCCTGATGATCTGCTTCCATAAGACTACAGCCAAGGAAACCCTGTAGAGCACTTCTGCTATGAAGTGCATAGCGTCACCATGAGTTGGAATCAACTCGACGGCAATGGATTTAGTTTTGAATTTTTTTAGAAAGACTAAAAAAGTTGGAAATGAATTCTGAGAGAGATTTTTGTTTGTTCCCAGTATAAACTTCTAAGACATACATTTTCCCAATGAATAGGGCATCAACTTTATAAGCCAGAGGTGATCACTCAGTTGGAGCAAGAGGAACAGTGGATAATGGAAAGCAAGAGCCTACCAGATACCCATCCAGGTGAGAAACATTTGCTGCTCAGTAAGAGAAAGTCGTCACTTTTGAGATAGGCAGCTGTGTTCCCAAAAGCTTCATCTGGGATTTAAAGAATACTGAAGCCTTTTTTAAAAATTCATGTCTTAGTAATCTAGTGCCGCTATAACAGAAATACCAAAAGTGGATGGCTTTAACAAACAGAAATTTATTCTTTCATGGTTTAGGAGGCTAGAAGTCCAAATTCAGGGCACTAGCTCTAGAGGAAAGCTTTCTCTGTCAACCTTTCAACAGCTATGTGCTCAGCTTTCCTTGGAAACCTCCATATGTCTTGGCATTAATATTCCCCTGGGTCTAGGAGGTTCTCAGCACAGGAACCCCAGGTCCAAAGAACATGCTCACTCCTGGCTTTTCTTTCATGGTGGTAATAGGTCTCTCTTTTTCTGCTCGCTTCTCTCTCCTTTTATCTCTTGTAAGATAAAAGGTGTTACAGGCCACACCCTGGGGAAACTCCCCTTATATCACATCAGGGCTCTGACCTGAGTAAGGGTGTTGCATCCCACACTAATCCTCATTAACATGACCTAATTCTATCTCATGAACATAACAGACAGCTCACTCTCAAATGGGACCATAACCACAGGCCTAGAGGCTAGGATTTGTAACACAACACAAAATGGAAGATAATCAGATCACAAAATGAAGGGCAACCAAGTTGACATGTATTTTGGGGGGACACAATCCATGACAATTCATTTTGCATTTTTGTTTCCAAAGTAGAAATGGCTCTTTTTTTTTCTGATTGAACAGATAATTATATATACCTATTATAAAAGGAGACCTGGTGGTGCAGTGGTTAAGAGCTTGGCTGCTAACCAGAAGATCAGCAGTATGAATCTACCAGCTGCTTTTTGGAAACCCTATGGGGTAGTTCTACTCTGTCCTATAGGGTCACTATGAGTGGGAATCGACTCAATGGCAACGGGTTTGGTTTTGGTTTTTATTATTTAAAAAATTATGTAATATAGAAGATATTTTGAAGGTATTTAGTTTGAACCCCAATAAATACTTTGATGTTGCAAATCTCTACATACCTTTCTTTTCCATTTTTTCTTCATCTTCTCTCAGCATTTTTTTTTTCTCTTTTTTTTATTGTGGTGAAAACAGTCACATCAAAACATCTGTCAACACAACTTCTACATCTACAACTCAGTGGCATTGATTACATTTTCAAGTTGTGCTGCCATTATCTCTATCCTCATCGAAAACATTTCACAACCATTAACCTAAACCCAATGCCCCCCAAACAAATACTGTCTTCTCTTCTCCCCTCCCTCCCACACCTGGTAACCATTAATAATCTTTGGTTTCTATATTTTTTCTTATTTCATATAAGTGAGATCATACAGTATTTGTCCTTTTGCAACTGACTTATTTTATTTAGCATAATGTTTTCACGCATAGAACTTCATTTCCCTTTACAGCTGCATAATATTCCATTGTGTTTATATACCAGATTTTGTTTATTCATTCATCTGTTGATGGACATTTCAGTTATTTCCACCTTTTGGCTATCATGAAGGGTGCTGCACTGAACATTGGTGTACAGGTTTCTGTTTGCATTCCTGTCTTCACTGCTTATAGGTATATATGTAGCATTGGGATTGCTAGGTCATGAGGTAATTCCGTGTTTTCGAACAACTGTTCCACAGTGGCTGCACCATTTTACATTCCCACCAGTAATGGATGAGATTTCCAGTTTCTCCACAACCTCACCAACACTTCTTGTTTATATTCTTTTTTTTATCATTGCCATTCTAATAGGGAGTGAGGTAATATCTCATTGTGGTTTTCATTTGTATCTTCCTAATGGCTAATGAGGAGCCATGGTGGACCAGTGGTTAAGCATTTGCCTGCTAACCAAAATGTTGGCAGATCTAATCCACCAGCCACTCCTTAGAAACTCTATGGGGCAATTCTGCTCTGTCCTATAGGGTTGCTATGAGTCAGTATCAACTTGATGGCAATGGGTTTGGTTTTTTTGTTGTTGTTGTTGTTTAATGACTAATGAAGGACCCCTGGAGGTTTCATGGTTAAGTGCTCCACTGCTAACCAAAAGGTTGGCAGTTCAAACCCACCAGCCACTCTGCGGGAGAAAGATGTGGTATTCTGCTTGCATAAAGATTACAGCCTTGGAAACCCAATGGGGCAGTTCTACCCTGTCCTGTAGGGTCACTATGAGTCGGAATCAACTCAATGGCAGTGGGTTTTTTTTTTTTAATGGCTAATGATGTTGAGCATCTTTTCATGTGCTTGTTAGCCACTTGAATATCCTCTTTGGTGAACTGTCTGTTCAAGTCCTTTGCCCATTTTTTGAGTGCGTTGTTTATCTTTTTGTTGTTAAGTTGTTATATATTTTTTTGGATATTAGGCTCTTGTCTGATATATGGTTCCAGAAAATGTTCTCCCAATGTGTATGTTGTCTTTTCACTTTGTTGATGAAGTCCTTTGATATACATAGTGTTTAATTTTTTGTGAGGTCTCATCTATGTATTTTGTCTTTTGCTGCTCAGACTTTTATTATCACGTTTGACAATCTGTAGCTAAACACTAGGTCCCACAGCCTTGCACCTACATTTTCTTCTAAGAATTTTATGATTTTAGCTTTCACATTTAGGCTGTTGATCCATTTTGAATTTGTTTTTGTATATGGTATGAGGCATGCCACCCTCTTTTTGAGGGAATTTACAGTCATGTCTACTCATATTGGGGTGCTTAGGTTAGATGAGAAGCTGGGGAAAATGAACTAGAGCGTGTTTGCTCCTTAAAGCTGCCTTGAATCCCAAGATAATCGTTGCCTCAGTCTAGAGTCTAGACCCTGCCCCCCGGTGTCCCACTGGGATGTAGATAGGCCACCCTGTGATTGAAGATATGAGTATGCATTGAGGGTGTCCCTAGTGAGGGAGCCCTTCCTGTATAGCACAGTCACTCCTGGTATCAGTAGATGGCAGGTATGGCAACCAGCAGCAGGAGTTTTTCCTTTTCCATCATGGAGGCAAGATAGGGGAGGAAGGAAACCAGCAAAGTAGCCATGAGTGTATTGATCCAGCTGCCATGTTTCCAGGGAGTGAATACCCTGAACTCCACTCCTAGGTAAGTATTAGTTCTATCATTTTAAACAAAAGATTAAAGGTAGGAAGAAATATTTTTGAAGTAAATAAATAGTTGGCATTATGGTAGAGTAATCCATAGGTGAGGTTAAAAGGCCTGGACTTTGAGCTGCCTTATTCTACAAATACAGTCTTTTTCTCTAATATCTGCCACCTCTAATCACAGTGCTTTCTCTGATATTTCTTATTCTCCTATACATCTCCTTTCAACCCATGAATGTTCCTGGATAATCTCTTCTTTTTATGATTATCACATATTTTACAGCATTCCCCTGATCACTGCTTCTTTTCATCCTGTTATAGTCTTTGCCCTTGTTTCACAATTGTGTTTGAAAACTCCCAGTGCTACATATGCTGTGTCTGCATTACTGTCAGTTTCATTTGCTAATTCATTATTCAGTAGTTCATTTTTTAAAACATAGAGAATATTAATATTGAAAAGTATTTGTATGTTCTGAATTTCTTTTAGATGGGGAGAATAGACCTGAAATCAAAAAGTCAGCTCAAAACCAGAATATTTCTGATGAAAAGCAAATACATGACATGATAATGGAGAGATTGACAGGAGACAGTTTCTGGTTCTCCATCTTTGGAGGACTCTGGGATTTTGATTACCAGCTAGAGTTGAACCAAGAAAACCAGCAGAGACATTTGGGACAAGTATCTTCTACCCACAAAAAGATCACTCAGGAGAGAATCCTTGAATGTAATAAATTTGAGGAAAACCATAACCTAAATTCAAACCTTACTATGCATCAGAGAATTCCTTCAATGAAAATACCTCTTACCTCAGAAATACAAGGAAATGGCATCAAACATAATTCAGACTTGATTTACTATCAGGGAAACTGTGTTAGAGAGAATCCCTGTGAATATAATGAATGTGGAAAAATCTTCAATCAACATCTTCTCACTAATCATATTCTTACTGCAGAGAAGACCAGTGAATGTGGGAAAACCTTCAGCCACAGCTCGTCTCTAACTCAACCTCAGATAATCCTTACAGGAGAGAAGCCCTATAAGTGTGATGAATGTGGGAAGAGATTCAGCCAGAGGATACATCTTATTCAACATCAGAGAATTCACACAGGTGAAAAACCCTTTATATGCAATGAATGTGGGAAAGCCTTCCGGCAGCATTCGTCCTTTACTCAGCACCTGAGAATTCACACTGGAGAGAAGCCCTATAAATGCAATCAGTGTGGTAAAGCCTTCAGTCGCATCACATCCCTTACTGAGCATCATAGACTTCACACTGGAGAGAAACCTTATGAATGTAATTTTTGTGCGAAAGCCTTCAGCCAGCGGACACACCTTAATCAACATGAGCGAACTCATACAGGAGAGAAGCCCTATAAATGTAATGAGTGTGAGAAAGCCTTCAGCCAGAGTGCACACCTTAATCAACATAGGAAGATCCATACTCGGGAGAAATTATGTGACTACAATAAATGTGAGAAAGCCTTAAGCCACAATCCTTCACTTATTCAGCAGCACATAACTCATGGGAGGGAAGTCATATGAATATATTAAATGTAGGAAATTTTTCAGTCAGACCTTTTCATCCAATTCTTATTAAATTATTCATCACAGAGAGAAAACTTATAAAGTCATAGAAACCAAATAACTTTAGACTTCAAACTAGTAGTACATTATAGCCTCAGGAAGGGTTATAAATTGTAAAAATAATTTATAAACAAGATTATATTAGGAGTCATGTTCCAGATCTGATTTTAAAAATTTTTAAGTTAAAATTAGCCTGTAATTACTCACCTGTAAGCTTTATGGTATAAAGCTTTTAAACCATATAAATATTGATTAATCAAAGCAATGTTGTAGTGTAACCAGTTGCACAAACTTGAAATAAACATGAAAGAGCAGTATTTCTCAAACTTCAGTCATTTGTGTGCCTCCTTTACAGCTTTTACCATATCAGCTATTTACTTGATATTTTTCTTTAAAGGAACTTAGAATTTTTAGCCTTTTCCTAAAATATTTATAGAAATTATGAATTTTATATGCTAATTATATTTGTTATAATATATGTGTGGTATATATGTATAAAACTTGGAAATTAAATTCATCAGTGTATCACTTAAAATCTTGTGTACCATCATTTGAGAAATAATGTGATAGGATATGGTAATATTCTGTTATTCTTTTAGCAATTCTTGCATTATTTTCATCCAGTGAGCCCTAGGATCCCTTTGAGAAGAGTCTTGGAGGAGACTGAGAGTCATATTGATGAATTTTAAAAATTTATAAAGAGAAGTCTACTTTCTATCCAGTTATCCTAGTTTTAAATTTCCCTGTAGCAAGTATAGATTTTTTTTTTTTAGTTAAAATTGTTATTTCTGTTGTAGAAATTTTGAGCAGAGAATTCTTCTGATAATGACCAGAGGCTAAGAGCCTCCATGCCTCCTGCACCATTGTGGGAGACGAGAGAGTAGCAGAGTGTAGTGCAATGGATTACTTCTATATGGCCTTTTTCGCCATGGTCTTGTAACTCTCACCAAATGACTGGGTGGGACTATGCAGATGAGGTGCTTGTGGCTTTCCAAGGGAATTCGATAACTTGCTAACAATGTAAATAAGGTACATAGCATCCTTGTGGGTGTGGGACCATGCAAATAAGGTATATGGAATGCTAATGAGGGGATTGGTCAGTTTTGCCATCCTGCTAGGCTTAAAATCAGCCATCCCAGAGGCACACAGGGGGACCTCACAACCACCAAGAAGAAGAGACGGAAGCAGAGTGCATCCTTTCACTCAGGGCCCCTGTGCTGAGAACGAATTAGACCCAGGAAACAGCTGTAACACTGGAGATGGCATAAGACAGCAAGAAGGAGCAGCAGAGAACCGGCAGCACCAGAACCAAGAGACCAGCAGTAGGTGGTGCGTTGGGCTTCCCAGCCCATGGAGCAAAAGAACTGAGCACCTTCGGGCAGGAAGCTTGCTGGTGGAGTGGGGTGCTTCTGGGCACTTACTGGCAGACCTAAAGAGTTTCCTCACACTTGGCCGTGCACGGCAGAGAGGCCAGACTAGGGGCCAAGGGGCCGAGAGAGGCCTGCCTGTGGGCACAGCCGAAGAGCTGTCCTGACCAAAGAACTGTATCCTGAGTCGTTCCTGATCCTGACTTGTAACCTGTTTCTTTCCTAATAAACCCTATAATCGTGAGTATGGTATGTGAGTTCTGTGTGGCCACTGCAATGAATTATCAAACCTAGCAGAGGAGTAGAGAGAGCTGTGGGAGGGACAGTTTGTCAGAATTGGTAAAAAGATTGAAGGTTGGAGGTATGTTTGACCTCCACCTCATAGAGATCAGCCTTGGGCTGATATTGATAGTGATTCTCTCTCTCCCTCGTGAAGTTAGAGGAGGACTTCTGATGCCCTGCCATGCCATTTTTACACAGAAAGAAGGGAGAAGACAGAACCCAAGAGTGAGCTGTGGCGCCATATTGAGGTTGAGACCAGGAAGAGCCTACTGGCTTATATGACTAACCAAAGAAGTAGTCCAATTGGCTTAATAATCCATTTCATGTATTGAAATATATTTATGCCATACCTTTTTCTAAAGGGAATGTAAGGTAGTTTAGTTTTATTTCTATGATTACTGCCTTGTTTGACAAAAATCACATTTTCATGTTACAAAACATTATAAAGTTAAACTGTCATAAGCCATAAATAGCTGCACGTATGGGACTGCTTTGGTTTCTTGGCTTTCCGTTTTTCTGCCCGTCCACAGGCATGGCTAAAGTAATCATGAGGCTAAGGTAGGAATGCACCCCCCTTGCTTTCTCACCTTTCTTCTAACATAGCTCCCAGCTTGAGACTTCCCTGATTTTTTTCCCCTGTGAAAGGACGAAATTTTATAGGCCTTAACTCAAAACTGAAGTGATTTAAAGACTTAAAAATTCAAACAGTAAAAACCAAAAAAAGTAATAAAGTGAATTCATTTTATCACCGAAGTTAACCTCTTCAAGGTGCATTTATGTCCCACCCAACAGTGTGTTTAAAATAGCCACGAAACCCTGAGTTAGTCAGGGAGGATTTCTAATAGCAATTTGCATTCAAGTGTCTGTGCTGGGGAGATTTATTTTCAGGACAGATCAGTTCTGGAAGTATCTCTTCACCAAAAGAAGCCACAATTAACATTCATTTGCCATAATGAGCCAGAGGATAGGGCACTCAGATTTCAGGGACAGAGTGAGCCAAGGTGAATCCTCAGACAGCAGAGGTAGAAGTAATGTTTAATTACAATTGATGAAGGCTTTGGTCAAAGTTTACTTTTGCAACCAGAAAAAAAAAAAAAAAACTTGAATATTCCACAAAGAGTACTAAGGCCTCCAAAACAAGGCAGTGTATCCCAACAGAGGTGTAAAATAAGAACAATATGGGATTTTCAGAAGAGGATCAGCAGAACTTGGACTATGCCAAAAGAGAGGTGTCTGGACTGGACTAGACCACAGCTGGACAAGGGTTTTCACTAATTCTTCATAAATAGGAATTGGAAATTAGGATGAGACTTCTATTATATGTAATATATACATTACAACATAATATATAATAGTACATTGTATTTCTATTATATATCCCTTAGGGTCATAAAAAACTTCTTTAAAGTGTTCAAAGATGTCACCTTGAGAACTAAGGTGTGCCTGACCCAAGCCATGGTATTTTCAGTCGCCTCGTATGCATGCAAAAGCTGGACAATATGGAAGACAGAAGAATTGATGCATTTGAATTATGGTGTTGGTGAAGAATATTGTATATACCGTGGACTGCCAGAAGAACAAACAAGTCTGTCTTGGAAGAAGTACAACCATAATTCTCCTTACAAGCAAGGATGGCAAGACTTTGTCTCACGTACTTGGGACATGCTATCAGGAGGGACTTGTCTCTGGAGAAGGACATCATGCTTGGTAAAGTAGAAAGTCAGCAAAAAAGAGGAAGACCCTCAAGGAGATGGATTGACACAATGGCTGCAACAATGGGCTCAAACATAGCAAAAAGATGGTGAGGATGGCGTAGGACCAGGCAGCGTTTTGTTCTGTTGTGCATAGGGTCGAGGGCATCTCACAAAAACAACAACAGGGTCATAAATGAGCATGTATAGTAAATTATGTCATTCTGGTGTGGATTCAGTCATTCTCATGTTATCCTTTGTTCTCTTCAAAACGTTCCAAATTAAGGAGTAAACTCTAAGCATATTGTTGTTAGGTGCTGTTATGGATTCAATTGTATCCCCCAAAATATGTATGTCAACTGCCTGTCCATGATTCCCAGTATTGTGTGATTGTCCACCATTTTGTCATCTGATGTGATTTTCCTATGTTTTGTAAATCCTACCTCTATGGTGTTAATGAGGTGGGATTAGCAGCAGTTACGTTAATGAGGCAGGACTCAAACTACAAGATTAGGTTGTGTCTTAAGCCAATCCTTTTGAGATATAAAAGAGAAGCGAGCAGAGAGACATGGGAACATCATACCACCAGAAAGCAGCACCAGAAGCAGAGTGCGTCCTTTGGACCCAAGGTTCCTGTTCGGAGAAGCTCCTAGACCAAAGGAAGATTGATGACAAGGACCTTCCTCTAGAACCGACAGAGAAAGCCTTTCCCTAGAGCTGGCGCCCTGAATTTGGACTTCTAGCATACTAGACTGTGAGAGAAAAAATTTCTCTTTGTTAAAGCCATCCATTTGTGGTATTTCTGTTACAGCAGCACTAGATAACTAAGACAGATGCCATTGAGTCGGTTCCTGATCATAGTGATCCTATGTACAACAGAATGAAACGCTGCCTAAGTTATGTCCAAGGAGGTCTGGTGGTGCAGTGGTTAAGCGCTCAGCTAACTGAAGGGGTGGCTGTTTGAACCCACCAGTTGCAAACCGCAGGAGAAAGATGTGGCAGTCTGCTTCCGTAAAGATTACAGCCTTGGAAACCCTTTGGGGCAGTTCTACTGTGTCCTGTAGGGTTGCTATGAGTGGAAATAGACTTAATGGCAATGGGTTTTGTTGTTGGTATGTCCAAAGAACTTCCAGCATGGAGAGATACTAATCACTATTTATATTTTGGTTAGTGTTTATTAATTCAAGGCACCAACTGACATTCTTTAAGCAGTCAACATTCCTTTACTTACAGGTGTACAACTAATGAATAAAAACAGGGATTTCTGAAATCAGACTTCCCCTATCTTTTAAACACTGACTTTGGATTTAATCACATCTAAACATTTAATTAAAATCACAAACCTAAAATATCAGGCTCTTTTAAATGCTTTAAGCACTTTAAGATATAGAAAAGACATACCCAGAATATGACAATGATTATACCTAAACCAGTTGAAGATTTTCACTCCATGGATTAACTGCACGGATTTAACTTTTTTTTTCCTTGTATGCACTTTCTCAGAGTTACATTTTTCATACATTCCCAGGGTTTAAGTTGATCTACCATGTACCTTTCTAAGGAGTCGACAAGAAAAAGGAATTAACTCAGGGATGGATTGCCCAATAAACAAGGTACACATAGGCTTAACTGTGTTTATTTACTATTGTGTAGTGCAGAATTTCACATGGGTTTCACCACTGGTGCATACCTTGCTTACTGGTTAAACCATCCCTGAATGAACTACAGCTAATAGCAACAATAAGGATGAATCTCGAAAACACTGAGAATAGGAAAGCGCTCTAGTCACAGTATGCACGGGAAAAGCAGAAACCAAAACAACCGTGGCACACCGCGGTCCGCCGCTTCTTCAAGGGGGCGGAGCTCTGCCTTTAACCCTGGAGGAGCGGCGTGCGTGCGGCGTGACGCCATCATGCTGCGACCTGCCTTTCTTGGGCTGTGCTGCTGGACCGAATAGAGCTGAGAGATTAGTGCGGTTTCGAGGTCGCTAATGTCAGAGGTGGGTTCAGGGGGGGCGCAGGGTCCGGGAGAAACCGAGGAGCCGCCTCGTCAGAGCGCTGGGAGGGGGTCCAGTCCCACGGGACCTCGAGGTTGTTCTTCCCCAGGCCGGGCGGGACGGATGGAGCATGAACTTATTCCGAAAGCAGCTCCCAATCGAGCTCTCCTCAATAAGCAGGACCACCGGCCCCCCAGCCAAGGGCTTGCGCGGCTGAGGTAGCCGGGCTGTGAGCCTGTGGATCGAGTCAGCCCAGCGGAAGGGAGATAACACCGAGAAAGGCCCTCGTTTATTAGTTATTGGGCCTTACAGGTTAAATCCTCAAAGCACTCCTGTGAGTAGGCCCCGTTCTTATCCCCATTTTGCAAAGGGGGAAACTGAGCCTTAGATCGGTTAAAGGTACTGCTTTGTAAACAGTATTAAGATGGGAGATTGGGTAGGTAGTTAATAGTGATATGTGTAAGCATTTCTAAGTGGCGATTCCAGAAGACCAGCAAAAGCTTTTTGTGAATTTGGACAGTTCTGGTGACAAAATTAATTTGGCGAGTCATAACCAACATATTCTTAAACTATGAAATTTGCTTTTCAGGTGATCAAAGCCATATAATGTCAGTAGTTCGTTCATCCGTCCATGCCAAATGGATCGTGGGGAGGGTGATTGGGACTGCAATGCAAAAAACTGCCAAAGTGAGAGTGACCAGGCTTGTTCTGGATCCCTATTTATTAAAGGTGAGGAGCATCCCTGTTTTCAAGTGGCATTGGCAAATCACCAGCATGTTCCAGGCACCTCAGCAGAAAAATACCTCCCTATCGGTAATGAAGTTTTTAGCATCTGCTGTGTGCCCAGGCATTGTCCTGGTCTGTGACTCATTAGGTTAATTAATCATGATCTCTACTGCATTCCCAGGAGACAGTTAATTTCAAATCAATCTGGTGACTGATATAATTGTACAGTGAAACCTGTGAGAGCTGGAACTTGACAGGAGTGCCTTGTTTTACCAGGTCTTGCAAGTTTTCCGATCTTAACACTTTTCCATCGTTCGTTTTAGTAGAAAATATTTGATTTTTCCTTCTCTGACAGGTTTGTTACCTTATACAGGTTCCAGCTTTCCTACATTTCACTGTATATGCAAAGTACTGTGAGAGGAGACAGTAAGATACTTCATCTTTCCTCCCAGAGAGCTGGACAGTAGCATTGTCTGTTAAGAGAAATTGGAGCTGAATCTCAAATAGCATTTTATCCAGAGAACCAGATGAAAGGAACTCATTCCAGTCGTGATGAGTAGTTTATTGAAGTTCATGTAACCATCAAAAGGCACGATGTTTTACCATATCAGCACGTGGTTCAGCAAGGTTGGGTGCAGAGCTTAGCATTTAGTAGGCACCCTTGTTGAATGAATGGTAAGGACAATCGGAGCTGGACTGTGAAGTGTCTTGTGTGTTGTGTTTATAAGTTTGAATTTCATCTTACAAGCAAACAAAAGACAGACTTGGAGACATAGGGATGGGGTCTGGAGGTAAAGAAATCAGTAAGGTTTAGGATGGAAATGATGAGGACCTTAACTAACGCCAGGACAATAGGGATAAGTGACAAAAGTAGATTTCAGGTAAAAGGGACACAGATCATTGCTTTGTTAGATGTAAAAGGAGGGAGAAAGAGGTGCCAAGGATGGCTCTGCATTCCAGATTGGCTACAGGCATAGGTAGAGATGCCGTCTGTTATTGAGGATTGAAAAAATACAAGAGCAAGCAGAAGACTGAAGACATGATCATTGACCTTGGAATCAGGAGATCTGAGTTTGAGTACAGACTCTGGATTTTACTTAACCTCCCTGTTTTCCTCATCTATAAAATGGGAATACTGGTACCTCCACTACAGGGTTGTTGTGAGGAATAGGTGATGCTAGTTATCATTTATGACTTGTTTTCAATACTTTGAACCAAGCACATGGCTAAGTACTTTACGTACCTTATGACATTTAATTCTCTTGATAACTTTAGAGGTGCAGGGGTAAGAGCCTCGTTTCATGGTTAAAAAAAACTGAGCTCAGAATGGTTAAGTGACTTGTCTCAAATCACACCTAGTGGTGAGAGCATCATGTTTATAGGCATGAGAGAAGGCTTCGGTGGGAAGGGCAGGTTTAAACATTGTAGGGAGAGATGATAATTGATAGAACAAGGCTCTTGATGGGGATGTGCTGAGAGCTCAGGGACAGGATCAGCTCAGGAAAAGTCAGTGCTGTTTTCCAAAGGCTAAGCAGCTAAGTGTCATATTTTCTTTTCCCAAGTCCCAACTTGTATTCTCTGCATCACTCCTTCATGTTCTATCCTGCATTGCCAGATTGCAGCTGGGAGCTACTGATTTGTTCCTCTCCTTCTCTCAATAGTATTATAATAAGCGAAAGACCTACTTTGCTCATGATGCTCTTCAGCAGTGCACAGTTGGGGATATTGTGCTTCTCAAAGCCTTACCTGTTCCACGCTCGAAGCATGTGAAACATGAACTGGCTGAGATCGTTTTCAAGGTTGGAAAAGTCATAGATCCAGTGACAGGAAAACCCTGTGCAGGAACAGCCTACCTGGAAAGTCCAATCAGTTCGGAGCCTACTCACCTAACCGAACGTCTGAAAGAACTCACCATCTCAGCACAGTAAAGGCAGAGTAGAAGAAGGCACCAGAGGGAAAGAGTTACAAGTTTGCTTTATGGAAAAAGAAACTTTTCTAAGTTTCATCACAAACTGTGTCCAATTTCCCTACTGGTATTTATGAAATTCCTAAAAGCAACTGAAGTAAAAGGCTTGTTGTAATTTTTCATAAAGATCTATTTTCATAAAGGCTGTATTCTCAGTGACTTCTTACTTTCCTGTTAAACTAAGTGTACCTAGCAATCCACCGTGTCATTCTGTAAGCTCGTTGTTTTGGAAGGCGTATTGTTTTTTCATTCTAAGGAAACTTGGACTTGTCTTAGAGCCTTTATTTTGAGAGAAGAACAACTTTTGGTATATATTAAATTTTTTTTTTCTCCTGATTTCACCAGTTCCTAAGGAAAACAGTCAACATGCTTGTGGTCAGATTTTATTAGATTAAGCTGTATTAATAAAAATGTTAACATGTAGAAAATTTTTTACAAATTTTGCTTCACTTTTCTTATATCTTAGATCCTAGGCTAGTTTAAATAAAACCAGTAAGAGTGGCCGTCAAGTCATTTCCAACTCATGGCGACCCCATGTGTGTCAGAGTAGAACTATGCTGCATAGGGTTTTCAGTGGCTGATTTTTTGGAAGTAGATTGCCAGATCTTTCTTTTGAGGTACCTCTGTGTGGACTTGAACTGCTATTCTTTCAGTTAGCAGCTAAGCAAATTAACCATTTGTATCACCGAAGGACTCCAATTTAAATAGGCATGAGTTCTTAAAATCCGACACGTTGCCAAAGTTGCAGAACGTTTCGCACACGCATCTGCGTCGGGGAGTTTCAGAATTTTGTTGCTATCGGTTAATGAACTATGATGACTTAGACTTAAACTAAAGAAAAATTGGGCTATATAATTCAGTTTCTGGTTTCTAAAAAATTTGGATCATACCTGAGCCTCAACTATCATGCATATTGTACAGTAATGACTGCAGGCACTGCCTGTCCTCTCAGGACTCACAGTCTAACGGAGGACATGTGCCACCTGCCATCATGGCAAACAGGAGCACATGGGTTCTTCCCAGGAGAGGTGAGAGGGTGCTAGAACTCAGTCTTAAAGGAAGAGTCTCCAGGCTGGTAGATGGGGGGTGGGGTGTGTGTGGAAAGGGCACTCCAGATGAGGAAAGGGAGTATAAAGTCCCCAAAAGCAGGTCAGGATTGCTGAGGGTGGAGCTCAGGCAGAGAAATAGGCAGGAGTTACATTGTAGGTAATTGTAGATTAGTTAAAGAGAAAATGGAACTGCATTTCAATAAAGGTGATAGCATCAGTGCCAGGAATGGACTGGAAGGGGGAAGATTAGAAGTGGGGAGACGAGACCTGTTCAAAGGCTGTGGTCCTAAGACCGGAGCTAAGCTGGGCAGGGAAGATGAAGAGAGGATGGATAGATGGTGTTCCAGAGCACTCTCAGGGCTTGACACCAGGGTGGATGAGCAAGAGGAAAGCATCTAAGAGCTTCTGGCACCACCCAAAGACTCCTTGCCACATTAACATGTTCAGATGCTGCCCTAGTCAGACAACTGCATCTCTCGAGCCTCAGTGCTCCTTTCACCCCCACGATCCCCAGCTTCAGAGCTTCTCAGTCCACAAACCTTTTTGTTGCCCCACCTCTCCTGTGCAGCTCTCGATCCTGGGTAGAAAAGGCCTCCAAATTGCCCAATCCTGATAAGGCAGCAGCCTTTGATACTGGGAAAAATCCCACAGTCAACTCATGCCTCCTAAGTATGGCCATGAACCAAACGAGATTACACCTCAGAGCTTGTATTTTCTCTTTCAGGCAGGAAAACTCTTTCTGGGCTGGCCCACTACTTTGTTTGTTTCCTCTGTCAGGAATGTCCTTTCTACCAGTGGTCACCTCCTGTTTACATGGGGACTGAGCTGTGAGGCCGGCTCCTCTGGGAACTTTCTCCTGGCCTATCCTCCCCTTCCCAGCTATCCTCAGTTACACGCTTCCTTCGCGTCTTGTGAACCTCTCGATTTCAACACTGACACACAGATCACCAGTTTGCATCGTGTCCCCACTAGAGGGGGCTGCTTGAGGGCAGAAACAGGGACTCCTTGGGACCAACATCCTTCAGTGCTGAAATCAGCGGGAATATCAGGAGACTTCGTGAGAACTTGAGTGTGTTTCCACCCAAAATACTTTTATTAAAGTGTTTTGTTAGAAAAGGTAGTATATTCACAAGTAGCCTTGGTGGCACAGCGGTTAAACTGGGCTGCTAACTGAAAGGTCGCCCGTCAGTGGTCTGAACCCATCCACTGCTCTGCCAGGGAGAACAATGTGGCAGTCGGCTTCGGTAAAGATTACAGCCTTGGAAATCCTATGATGCAGTTCTACTCTGTCCTATAGGGTCACTATGAGTCAGAATCTAGTGACAGGTTTGATTTATTTTAATACATTCACATGGTACAAAATTCAAAGAGTCCCTGATTTTAATATATTCAAGGTACAAAATTCAAGGACTCCCTGGATGGTGCAAATGGTAACGCCTGTGGCTGCTAACTGAAAGGTTACAGGTTCAAGCCCATCCAGAGGCAGATGGGAAGAAAGGCCTGGCAATCTACTTCCAAAAAATCAGCCACTGAAAACCCCAGGGAGCACAGATCTACTCTTAACACACATGAGGTCGCCCTAAGTCAGACTCTCTAGGCAACTAGTTTTAACAAAATTCAGAAGGTATTGGGCAGAAGCCCCCTCTCACATGTGCTCCCCCAAGCTTTGGGTTCCCCTGGGCAATAGTGTGACTCTTTTCTTGTGAATCCTTGCACACATATTGAAGCAGGCCTGTGTTCCTTTGCACACACCCAGTTCTGGGCACCGAGCTTTCGCCGACTCTCTCCTGCTTCCGAGTCCTTTCTACTGACGCCCAGCCTCCCTCCTCGGCCCCCGCCCCCGCCCCCGCCCCGCCGACCGCGCTGC